TCAAAGAGAAACTCATGTGTAATGACTATTCGATCAAAAATAAATAATGTATCAAAATTTTCTAATAAAACTATTTCGCCATAGATATATCTTAAGCAATTTTTTTCAGCACTAGTTTAGCAAAATTTTATTAAAATAAAATACAGCATTTTATACATTAATAATTTTACCATTCAAGCAACGTTGAAAATATGAAGAAGTATACCTTATCCACTCTTTACAATCTTCATCAGTAACTGTATTAACTGCCTCATCAAATCTACTTAAAATAGTTTCTGTATCCCTTAAACGATTTCTAGAAATGCTATTTTTAATTTTTGAAAACCAATTTTCGATAGGATTTAAAAAAGGGGAGTAAGAAGGTAAATATAAAATCTTATGTTTAGTATTTTTAACAGCTTCTTTAACGATATTGGATCTATGAAACATAATATTATCCATTACTAAAAACTTGGAATTTGAAATGTTATTAATAAGTTCACGAATAAAATCTGAAAAGATTTTTGAATTCGCTGAACCTAAAATAGATTTATAGTATAAAACTCCATCTTCATTCATTGCAGCAATAATGGAGATTTTTTTGCCCCTATTACTTACAACCTCATGAATTGCTAGCTGTCTACGATATGCTCTACCTCTTGATGCTGAAAGATGCAGGTTAAAACCCGTTTCATCCATATAGATCATATCCTTATAAATATTAATATTTTCATCATAGATCTTTTTTACATATTGTTTTCTTTCATAGATTGTTTTATCAGTATTATGACCTTCTGGTACTACAGTAAGCCTTTTTAGAGTAAAACCAAGATCTTTTACATATCTAAATACTGTACGATCACTTAACTATAATAATATATTTAAATATATATAAATAAATATAAAAATATGTAGCTTTTTAACATTTAAATTAATGTAAATATATACTTTTACATCTGGAAATCGACTTAATAATTTTTGGGTTAGGTCGCAAATTGCTAGCCATGGTTCTTCTTCGATTGCATCTCTTAAAAATTCTTTATGCTGTTCATTTAAAATTGATCTTTTGTCGCCACCTCGTGATTTAAGAGCAATTTGATCTTCTCGATCAAAACGTTTAACAATATCATCAACTGTTGAAGGAGCTAACCGATAATTAGCTGCAACCTTTCGAATTGATATACCTTTGTTATTAACATCATCTATAATTTTTTTTCTTTTTTCGAATGAAATATTTTGATACTTGGATTCTCTGGTTTTTTTTTGTTGAGGCATTACTAAAACAAGCATATAAGTTTTTTTTTACATTAATATTAAATATCTTTATTCGTATTATATTAGAATTTCATAGATTACGGTATATTATGAGTAATAAATAAAATACATTTAATTAAATAAATATGACGTTAATTAATATAAAGGATTTTGATATACGTATATATGATACCCAGAGAAAACCAGACGTTAGGCTTTTAAGTTTATAATTTAATGAACATGATTATACAAATTTTCTAAAAGCTAAGTCCAGTAAATTATAAGTTTAAAATCCCGAAGTCATATTTTTTCTTTGCATAACTTATATAGATTAATAATTATATAGTATACAATTGACAAATGAAAAAATAATACATATTTATTACGATAGTTTATTGATGAGTTTCGAGCATTGATTAGTCACAAATTTTATATTTTTGAACATCGGTAAAAAAAATTTTGACTGATGTTCGAATGTTCATCGAGTTTAAAATACATAGAATAATTTAGTATAACATTAAATTTATCAATTGTACATACTATTATCACTACATTACTTAATATACAATTTACATGACTTATAATTCGCTAATTTAAATGAATAAACTTTGGTCTCAATACTGCAATAATGTTATATTCTTTTCGCACTTATATATCAATAAAAAAATTTATTACTGTAAGATTTTTTAATGTTCACTAATACTTGATGATAGAATTTTTGATAGACACACGAATAATTATTCACAGATTCCACTCTCTACTTTGTATTTGTTTGGTTTATGCTGTGTGAAAGAACTTATTCGTGCAATTAGAAAAAGACAAATGAAATCTTCGTAGAAGGTTTTGTATGACTTTGGAATTGGACACGTTAGTGATAATTGTGTTTGGATCAAGCATTAAAGTTAGGAAAAAGTTGCAAAACATTGTTAGTTTAAATATTACACTAGTAAACAAGTAGAGACAATTTGAAAGAAGCATGAATATTACCTGCGAATAATGGATTTGGAGTTAAAAAGAATAAAAGATGAAGATTATTTGGCATCATTGGTTAAAAGAGTTATAGAGATAATAACTGGGAAGATTATAAAAAAACCTGAAGATAGTGCGAAGAAAATATGTTAGTTATAGACCATGTTCATATTATAAATACAGAAAACCAGGACACTTAGCTCATGATTGTCCGATTCAAAAATTTGACGTCAAAAAGAAAAGTTTAAAAGATAAATATATAGTATGTGATACCTTTAAATCATATTGACTAACATGTGAAATATGAATTGTGTTGATGGTGATTCAGGGAACTAAAATCGTTCAGATTTGGGTGTGAAGAAAAAGAAAAAGGCACGTGAAAATAAAAGATTGTAGGAATAGACGGATTCAATAGCATGGTATATTGACAAATCATTGATAGAAAGAAAAGTTGAAATAGTAAAGGTATAGGTCATCCAGTGAATATGAGAAAGTTATCATTAAAAAAACAATTTGAGATATCCAGAGTTGTAAGATTGTAGAACCTATTTGATAGCGTAAGTGAAGTTTCAGAGACAATTGAAGTTAGTAAAATAAATATTTAAGACGAAAGCCAAAAGAAAAAGACTAGAAAGTGAATACATACTTGAGATCCGAATGGTGAATAGTAAGGCTACAAAGAGTGATAGTCACAAAACTGATCATATTAATAGGATTAGAGTTGAAAAGAATTAGCATCAAGCATTCAACAAAAATCAAAAATCTACCAATATGGACAATGTTAACGAAGCCAATGATCTTGGTGGCTGTTACCAAAATGGAGTAAGGATCAAAAATGAACAGTGTTTATCAATTACTATAAATTTATTAAAATGGAATTTCTAAAGGAACATCTAACGTTAGCAATTGTTATATCATGAAAATAAAATTGGTAATAAAATAAAGAGGCACAATGCATTCAGTTAATGTCCGAAATCTGTTGAAAAAATTGAGATTTGCGATGGTGTAATTGAAGATGATGAGCCTGTGTTTATAATAATGGTGGTGAAGCTGCAGATTGTAGAAATGAAGTTAATACTGCTAATAATGCTATATCGGTTGCAGTTTTCATATTTTTTCAACACATTTCTTCTAGAACCAAACTGATCAAGCATCAACATATATTATTTTTAAATTTATATAAAATGTAAAAAAAAACTTTAATAGAATTCACATAGATACGTATTATTAAGCTTATAATCTTACTTTTTGAGAACCAATGCATGGTGACATATATGACTATATACACCTATTATGAATTAGTTATCTAACAAGATTATTAAAAATCTATTCTTGATATTTTGAATATCATATTATTGCGGTTTGCATAATCTTGTGACCCCCCTATAATTACAGGATTAATTTTTTTTAATGATTAAATGATTATGATTGCAATCGCGATTGCTAAAGCCGACCAATTTATCATAAATCCAAGTTTGTGTCAAACTCAGATTTATGATAAATTGGCCGGCTTTAGCAATCGCGATCGCAATCACAATCATTTAATCATTAAAAAAAAGTAATCCTGTAATCATAGGGGTCACAAAATTATGCAAACCGCAATAATATATACGAATAGGAGAAAATTGTTGATAGGAATATTGTGGTCATTAAAATTAAGCGATATAATAGAATTATACGTATAACCACTCCGAATAATAAAAATATATTGCGCAGCATCACTATATTAAAATATTAATAAGCAAGCATACAATTAACCAATCAAATACTCATGTTTTCATAAATGGTTTCATAAGCAATTTATAACTTAGAAAACAATTAATTCAATTTTATTATATTTTAATATTAATACTGGCAATTTCGCAACATCACATAAATGATTAGATCAAGTTTTATGAATCGATAAATTCCATTTTGACCCGTATCAAAATGATCCACCGACAGAATTTTAGGGTTAGTGTGGGCCGGAATTATGTTAATGCCTGCCAGGGTTTTTTATACTAAAAACCCAGCCAGCATTAACATAATTCCGTTATTTTGACCTGGGTCAAAATAGAATTTTTCCTATAAATTATTGCGGTTTGCATAATTTTGTGACCCCCCTATGATTACAGAATTAATTTTTTTTAATGATTAAATGATTGTGATTGCGATCGCGATTGCTAAAGCCGGCCAATTTATCATAAATCCAAGTTTGTGTCAAACTCAGATTTATGATAAATTGGCCGGCTTT